ACATACACTTTGCTACTAGTCATGATCTTCATCTTCACCTGCACGATTGAACTAGGGTTCTAAAATAATGATCAATGAGCTAGGCTTTGAAGGCTGATCGAGATGGAAAAGCCAGGGTTTGAGATGGACAATCTAGGGAGCTGGATTGAGATGGAATGATGGAGTGGAGCGAGCCATAGAGAGATATTGAGAGGTTGGGGGTTGAGAGAGATCGAGACGTTGGGGTCGAGTGAGCGCCAGGGAGAGAGAGACAGAGAGGTGTTGTGTTGGGTTGGTTTTGGGATTTCAAATCCGTGGTTCGATCGTGGTATTGAAATTGTTGATTCGGGGTGTTTGGGATTGTAATGTAATCCCAAACCCATGTTAGTTATAGTATCCAAGCACAGAATTTGGAATTGGAGCATCCAATCCAATTCCAAAGCTCCAAAACGGTCCTGCCAAGCAATACCCTTAGGTAATTTACTTAAATGAAAAGCTTCATTGAACTTAACTGTTTAAGTCTTTTGTTTAAATGAAATGCTGCAAGGAACTATATAGGTATAGAGAGTAATGTTGAAGAAATTTGGAACCATAATTAGTATCCAGAAATATTCATCACAGATAAAAAAATAAAATACAAGGTATCTAAATATTTCAAGAACGCAAGCCTGCTGCAGAGTTGTTTCATTTAAGTAAATGAGGTCCCAATTTATAGATAGAGAAGACCATAAAGATTTTCAATAGTATTCTACAACAGATACATTGACTGGTTGAGATGATTCAGACAAGCTCTTTTTAATCTATCAGTTAGATTAGGTTCCCAGTAAGGTACGTTGGCAGTTTCCCCTTTCAAAATTCTGATGCGGGATAGATTTTTGGAGGAGTTCAACTTGGAAAACTTCACAAAACGCTCTGACTAATGATTTGTGAGTAATATCAATTAGTTGGTAATCATCATGACATTGTATGTTCATTCTTCCGCATCCATCAAGTGACAAAGATTCCATCAATAAACCCTTTATGCTTCCAACACGACGATTCCTTATTCCACATGGAACTATTCTTTCAAAAGGAGTTAGATCTGCGGTGATATTCAATGCTAAGCCATGATATGCTACCCACTGTGATACTCGTATCCCAATAGCAGCTAATTTCTGATCTCCTGAAGCAATTCAATCTTTTAGGCTGCTATTGTTTTTCTTAGCAAAATAAAAACAGGAAAAGAAGAAATCAATTATGTTGAATACGGTTCAGGAAAAAGAAAATGTTTAATAAAAAGTACTATTAGAGTAATAATGATAATATGCTATTATTATCAAAGATATTCATAACAAAGATGAAATATGCAGCCCATCTGACTTGTCGAAAAACTTGCATGGAAAAAAGAACTTAACATATAAGATCATCTTTAGACATCCTGCAGGATCATTGATTGTTAAATAAGTATGCACTAAAAGTAATAGGTGTTTGCTGGAGTCATTTCTTAGATGTACATGCTTGTGGCACCAGTCTGGTGCTGACCAAATTTCAAGTAGCTGTATAACCATATATGCAAACAGTGTGTGCATTTTGGCACCAAACTGGGACCATTAGATCATTGATCCACACAATTCAAATTCATGAGGCATAAATCAAAATAATCAAATGTCAAGTTGACAATGTAACTTCTACTATGCATTATTTTTGTCCTCCAAGTTATGAAAAGAAAAGAATAAACTATAATTTATAAAATTTTACATATCATCATTTACATTTCTTGTTAATATAGAAGAAGATTCCACTCTTATAGAATGAATGAGAATTTTGGATCCACAGGCTTCAAAAAGGCCTAAAAGGAGTGCAAGTACAGAGAACCATTCAAGTTCTGAGTTAGTATTCATTCATGATCAGTGGAAGTGTGTAACCTAGAAACTGTTCCATTTCACATGCATTTACTCAAGAGAAGAGCAAATAGTATAATGCTTGCTACATTAATCTTATCTTTGACCAATTCACAGAAAATAGTGAATGATAAAGATGAGCCAATAAATATTTATGGTGTTAAAAAACATAGATGTACAAAAAGACAAAAAGTTTCAATGGTATTACGATTCTTAGATACTATACATTCCTTTAGAAGTCAATTAATATCACTTTTGAAGCTCATGTAAACCTAGCATAACAAGCAATAAGATAAATTATACAAAATGGAAAAACCATAGATACAAGGATTTATAAAACATACCAACCCAAACACCAGTTAAACCTTCAAGCCGGGAAGCTTTGATAGAAAATGCTGAGGAGAGAGCAAGAATGACCACATCCTCAAGCGCCCTGAGGTACCAATGGAGATCCATCTTGTGATAACGCAGATTGATAATAGGGTACATAACTAGCTACAGAGCAATACATGTGCATGAGAAGTTAGAAAATACAATAAAGTCGGTTGACCTCATAGTCAATTGCTTCACATACTCGACCAATCTTTTAGTATAATCCAGCATACCCACGAAATAAGACTATAAATCAACACATAGAAAATGTTAACTTAGACTGGATTCTAAGTACCGCGTTCTTATCCCAAATGAGAGACTGGAGACTTGAAAAGGATGCTTTGAAGATAAGCTCTTCTAAATTTTGATCTTTGTCATGCATTCATATCACATTTTTCTTTTGGGAAAGCTTACATACTAATTTCATTAGCATTAATGACCATTCGTGTTAAGGCTATGAATTTTACATCTCATATAGATAGTGCTTTAGGGTGTGCAAAATTCCATTTAACTCTCTACTCCAAAACAATTTCATTCCTTCTATTTGCCACCTATTAATGTGGCTTTGAAGAAGATGCTTTAGAGTATACAAGCAAACGCTAATGTTTCTAAATCATCATCCTTTAAAACCCATTAAACTGATTACAAGGTAAAACAAAAAAATGATGAGATTAATATCCATATCAACTATTGAAATTCTACAAATCAAAAGAAAATTAATGAAATGTGTTCAAAAAAGCAGAACAATTACCTGCCCTGGTCCATGATATGTCACTTCCCCGCCCCGTTCGGTTCGATAAACATCGAAAGGAGCATCCTTTATGTCAAAATTCAAGAACTCTTCTGAACTACCAGTACCCAATGTATAAACAGGTTGGTGTTGTAGAATGATCAAAGTGTCAGACCAGTCTTCGTTCCTTTCAATCAATGCTTTCCTCTCTTTGACAATGGACTTTTGCCAAGACCACGCTTCCTCATATGCAATTAGCTCATTATACAGATCAAACCACTCACACCTGTAACAAGAGCTGATCAAGCATTACAGTGCACAGAAGATGTTGGTTAAAAAGCATTACATAGCGAGTTTTACCTTCTTTTTCCTTTGTGGGTTATGGAGTTGGCCTCTGGAATCAATTTCGACAAGACAGAGTTTGACGGAGAACAATTTGATCTCTTTGAACGCTTTTGATATAGACATGTTGGGATTGGCCCCAATTTGAGACTCGCCACAACAATCATATCATGTATATTTATGATTTATAATTTATCTATAGTTCGAGAAGCCAATTATCGCAGAATTGAAGGAGGAACGAGTCGATTTCAATGGAGATTGAACCAGGGTTACAAAAGTAGGAGAGAGGAAATTACCGAGCAAGGTAATATCATAACGGTGAAAGGGGTAATTCAGACATTTTGATTTTATCGTCATTTTCTAGGAAAATTATAAGGCCACTTTTGGTATTCACCTTTCCAGCTCCGCGACGCAATAAACCCTAGAAAGAGAGAGTGTTTCGGCTATAAAACGAGGAAATAGCAGAGTCGCCTTCATCGCATTGCTCTTTGTCTGAGGTAAGTTTCACATCCAGATTTGTGGTATGAAGATCTCTCTCTGTGTTGCTCACTTGGTTGGTAATTTTTTCCGAGCTCCATTTTTTCATTTTCTTCGGAAAAATGTAGAATACTAATGGGGTTTCTCAGTGATGATTCAAAATGATGACGAGTCCGATCTATATCCATTCCATTAAATCTGACGACAAATCGAGGCATTTGTCTGAGAGAAACCCTAATATGGTTTATTTAACTTCTTTTTTTTTTTTTTTTTTTTTTTTTTTTTTCCCTTGGTTACATACATCTATGTGCACATATAAACACACACATGCATGTAATTCCATATGAACACATTTTATCTGTTTTTTTTTTTTTTTTTTTTTTTTTAAGGACATTTGATCTGTTTTGCTATGGATGTGATGTTGATTTTCTTTTCGCTTGATACTTGATAGATGTTTTTTTAATATGCTAGTACAATTTATTAAATTAAGTTTTGTTTTTGAAAAATCATTCACACACATGCATGTAATTCCATATGAACACATTTTATCTGTTTTTTTTTTTTTTTTTGTTTTTTTTTAAGGACATTTGATCTGTTTTGCTATGGATGTGATGTTGATTTTCTTTTCGCTTGATACTTGATAGATGTTTTTTTAATATGCTAGTACAATTTATTAAATTAAGTTTTGTTTTTGAAAAATCATTCACACACATGCATGTAATTCCATATGAACACATTTTATCTGTTTTTTTTTTTTTTTTTTTTTTTTAAGGACATTTGATCTGTTTTGCTATGGATGTGATGTTGATTTTCTTTTCGCTTGATACTTGATAGATGTTTTTTTAATATGCTAGTACAATTTATTAAATTAAGTTTTGTTTTTGAAAAATCATTTCAAAAGTGAACCAAGCAGTTTACTTTGGGTTGATACTAATGCATCAAACGGTCCACAGACAATCCCTTGGTTCACTTTACATCGAACCACTCATTTGTATAATGTGGTTGAGATAGAGTAATGCTACAAGATATATCAGCTTTCCATATTTTAGCCCAGTCTAAAAAATTATTAATAGAATGAGTTCACCGAATCAAGTCCAAATAAACTCAGCCCATACTATAATAAAGGCCCAAGTCAAGTAAGCCCAGGGCCGGCCCTTACCCAAGGCGACAAAAGGGGTCACCAATGGCCTCAAAATTTATGGACCTCAAAATTTATGGACCTCAAATTTTATAGGCCCATGGATGGGTCACCAAAAAAACAAAATATTTTTTAGGGCAAATCATGTCAACGTACCAATAAAATGGTCAAAACTCTAAAAACGGAATATCATTATCATTGTATCGTATCAGAATCAAATCAGCTTTTTAAAAACATGCAATTCTGCAATTTCAGTACTAAATCTACTTTTTTGACAGGTGAATTTCACCATTTGACTGGTTCGTTATTTTGCCCATATATATATATATATATATATATATATATATATATCAATATTTTTAGGGCAAATCATTTCAGCCTACCCAATCGCCTCCATCTCTATTCTCGTTCTCAACTTTGAACTTACCCCCTCTCTCTCTCTCTCTCTCTCTCTCTCTGTGTGCAACTGCAAACTACAAAATCTACAAGAATCAGAAGTTCAAAACCCATATATTTCAGTTTATCTGTCTGCAATAATCAAAAGTTCAAAACCCAGATCGGCATATCAATTCAGATTGTTCAAAAAATCAAAACCCATATCTTTCAGTTTCCGTCGCCCGCGGTTCCAGTTCGGGGTTCGCCGTTCGCAAGCTTCAGCCGCTGTCTCTCAACTCTCAAGCTTGCCCCCCTCTCTCTCTGCAACTTGTAACTTGTATGTATGGGTTTTGTTTCTATTTTTTTTTTTTCTAAATCAACTAATCAACGTCTGTCATCCTTGTTTTGCAAACTAAATCCTATTTGGTGAAATTTTTTATGATCTTTTTTATATAACTTTTTTTTTTTTTTTTTTTTTTTTTTTTTTTTTAACAATATAAAGTAACAAAATTTGCACTGCATTTTGAGGTAATCACGTCTGTTATATATTTTTATTTCTTTAACTTCTATTTTTTTTTTTTTTTTTTGGTCAATTACGTCTACAACAAAATTTGAAGCTGGGCATGAAAAAAAAAAAAAAAAACGAATCTGAATTGGATTAGAAATCTGCAGAGATTGAATCTGAAACAATTTTTTATCAACATGCCAAGCTTTTTGAAGATGGAAACCTTCTCAGAACCAAAAAAAAAAAAAATCATAACAAGAATTTAGTTAATATAGGGTAAAGCTCTACAGTTGCTTCTTGAAAATTAAAATACTTACAGAAAGCACGCTTTTGAGTGAATTCCATAGTGTTGGAAGGGGCTTGCCATGACTACCTCACACTGTGCTTCCACTAGTAGATTCTCAAATAGGATTAGTAAATTGGTCAAAAGAACAGATAGGGTACTGAGTGGTGAATTGTTCAGAAATAAATTGGTAATTTTTTTTTTATTAATTACCCAAATAGGATTTTCTATGCCTTAATCAGTCAATTGTCTAAAGAAACATTGTTAGTTAACTAAAATTGAATTAAACAACAGTTGATTTTGGTTGATATATTTTGATTTAGCTCACCCCATTGAGAAATCCTAGATGATTTGTTTCACATAGAAGGATAGAAATACAATCTGTGTAATGCGCAAGGGATATAGTCAATCTTTCTGCATATTTTTATTTTTAAATTTTGGTTTTTGATTTTCTTTTTTATTAGAATGCAGAATATGAGGATATTGATTTGTTAATTTTGAAGATTATTCCTAAACTGATGCATTGTACTTTGTTATTGGATTAATTCAACATAAGAGCTGAGTATAATATGTGTGCTAATCCCACCTATCCGTAATCACACCTCTTTCTACGGATAGGTGTCCAACATTTTGACTGAAAACATAGTTGGGTTGGATTGATACATGATACAAATAGTACTTAGATGGTGGTGTTTTAATTGTTATGAGTGAGGTTGTAAAATCTCTTCCTGACAACTTGAGTGTTCTCTTATTTTTAGGGTTAGCATTGGGCCTTAACATTTAGCAAGAACAAGGTTCAAGAAGCATGCCTCCTCAGTCATCAGGTGACAAACTCTTACTTTTTCTAAAATTTTAATTGGCATTTTTAGCTATTGGTTACGTAACTTACGTTTATTTATTCATTACGTTTATTTATTCATGTTTTACATATTAATTTTTTATTTTTGTTTTTGTTTCTACATACATATATATAATATTGTTATGATGTGATGCCCGAACAATTTATCAATGTGAATTAAATACTTGGAAGTTTAGTTTTCAATTTCAGAATATATGTTTTACAAGTTTTTTAATGCTTTTAAAACATTTCTTCTTTTGTCTTATTATTAATATAGGTCTATTTTCTAAAAGAACAGAGTTGATGGAAATGGGTGGAATAGGGAAAAAGAAAATGTTCAATTTCTTGTGAGAATCCTCTTGATGATTCAAGGGTGCTTTCAAGTTGAAGAACGATGCGGTAGAGAAATTACAGAAGAGATCCATACGTCTATTTCTATTTCTTCTTCTTGCCATTTCTTGCCATTTTTTATAAGATCAGAAGTTTATTTTTAACCAAATGAATATTCTTCAACCTAAATAGGCATTGGACATAAGTTCATAGACACCGGGAGCAGCTCAATTAGACCTCTCAATGGGTTAGATTCGGATTGGACCGGGCATGATCCGATCTGATCCGAATTTGATTAACATTTTAGTCGATCCGATAATTTGATGGATTTTTTTGTAAGTGAATTCTTTGTTAATAAATAGATATTTGATCTTATAGTTAGATCCGATAAAAGTGTATTTTTATTAATATATATATATATATGTGTGTGTGTGGGTAAGAACAATACATTATTATACATAAAACACTATGATTATTATTATTATTTTTATTTTTTAATACATCTAATATAAATCGGAAAAGCCTATTATATTTATATATATAAAATATATATATATATATATATATATATAATAAAAAAAATAATATATATATATATATATATATATATATATATGATTGGATCAGTATAAATTCATATTCAATTTGTTAAGGAATCAAATTCGGATCATAATCGGACTTTTTGATCAATTCATATCCGAACCTAATTATTCCAATCAAAATTCCATCCGTTAAGCCTCTGGTAATGCAATACTTACTATAGAGTCGCGCTAGAATACTATCAGCTGGTCTCTAAATTTGTTTCAGAAAATAGGTCGTTCAAAGCATGGACACGAACGGATTCAAACTCTTTGATTTTGTGGACATTACTTAGAATCTCAATTTACAACTCTAGATTTGTAATTTCTATATGTTATGATCTTATTGTGGGTAGCAATTTTTGATGGTCTGATTTTCAACAGAAACTTCAAAAATTTGCCAAATAGAAAATTGTGTCAATCAAATTACTAGTATTTGGTCAGTCAAATACTTGGTTTTCAAAGACATAAAATAGGACTTCATCTGCCGAAAATGGAGGAAATCGGAGCCGAGTCCATTATTTGCTCATGTTATGTTTCGCTGCAATGAATCGGCACATTGAATTTGAAATTAAAAAAAATTAAGTACAAATTTTAAATTAAATTTTTTCCAATTCAAAATTCAAGATACCGAATCGGTGTTCTCAAACAAAATATCAGTCTATTTTGTAATTTGTACCGAAAATGTTTAGTGACAGAAAGTTGAAGTTTTTAAAATGACTGAGAACTTGAAATATTATGAAACATTATCGATTTAAAAGACTTTGACTAAAGGACTTTCCATTTATATAGCATCTATTTTTGGGAGGAGAACTTTATAACATCTCAGAAGACGTCTTGTGCACTGGTTGAGTCACCAATTTGGAATAACCATTAATAATGATATGATAAGAAATTTAAATCAAAATAAATAAATATCAAAGGAGAAGTCTTTTTAGAATTTTCGAAGGAGAAAAGACTAAAATTTTGAAAATTGTATTGGTTAAATTAGTTTCAAAATTCATTTTCTAAGTTTTTCTTTTTTAGGAGATTAGTCGGGGGAATTTTTATAATTCTTAAAATTTGTTCATGAAAAATTCAAAATTACAGAATAGTTAATAGCAAAGGAGGGGCCTTTTTAAAATTCATTTTTTTTTTTTTTTTTTTTGACAAATGAGTTTAAAAAAAAAATTGAAAGATCTTTTTGAATTTTGAAAGTTTTTTTTTTTTTAAAACATATTTGAATATGTTCGGAGTTTAGTCGGGGCACTTTTATAATCATAAATAAATTGTGAATGAAAAGGAAGGGTCTATTTTGAATTTCAAAAATTTTGTTAGGCAAATGAATTATAAAATGAGGGTTTTTTTTTTTCCCCAAAATTTGAAGGTTTTATTTAGGTATTTTGTGAATATTTTAGGAGTTTAGTGAGGGCATTTTTATAATTATAAAAAATAAATAAAAAATTTGTATGCAAAATACTAATAATAAATTCCTCCCCAACATTTTGTAAATCCTTTCGAGTTGTAACGACCCGGTCATTTTCCTTCCTTTCCTTTTTCCTAAATTTTACGGATAAATTTTTTTTTTTTCGTTTAGTTTTCTTTTCCAAGTTCTGTTTCTTGTCACATAGTGTTGTCTCGAGTGCCCGGAAATGGTTTCCAAAACTTTTTCAATTGGATTGACAACTTTCTTTGAGGACCGAATCATTTCCACATTTTCACTTTTCGGACACTATTCACTTTTTGTTCTTTTCCCTATTTCATTTTTTTCCCTATTCTATCTTTTCTCCGTTTGTCAATTTTTGGCACAACCTCACTTTTCATACTCGGAGTTGGTTTTTGACTTCATGTGTCTTCATCCTAAGTGGTTTTCACAAAATACGTATCTTTACTTTTGCAAGAAAATACTCTGGTTACTCCCGGTGTCCATAGGGGCATGAATGCACAATTCTTCAGAATCTTTTTCTTTTCTTGGGTGTTTTTCATAAATATCTTTTGAAGATATTTTATTTCAAGGGCATCTAAGAAAATATTTTTACAGTCTGGATCATTAGTGCAGTTTTAATTTTTTGGAGGGGCCATTGTGCAATTAATGAAAGTTATTGCAAAAATGTCTCATTTTGAGCCTGGATCCTCGTACGGGATTCATTTTCACATTTCGTCGAGTTGTATACTCTTAAAATTCCGTTCTGGTCGTTTTCCCCAGTTTTAGGGATTTCTGGCCCCGGTTGCTGCCGAACTTGTTCGGAGCATGTCTCTCTGCTCGGGACTTGATTTTTGATGCTATTTCTTCCGTTGTTCATATTTTCTCATTTTGAATCTTTTTCGTTCACAGAGTTTTGCCGTTTGAGCGCGTCTGCTCAAATTCCACTTTTCTGGACCCCGACGGGGCCCTTTCGGGGCACTTTTTGAGATTTCTATAAATAGGTTGCCCTAATTTTTAAAATCAGATTTTCTCTCATCTTCCCCACTCCTTGGCCGGCAGCCATGGCAGCCCCTTGGGCTGCCACCTTCTCCCTCCTCCTTTAAACCATCATTGGTGAAAAGTTATCGGCCTTAACGTTTATTGTTCTCCTTGAAGCCACACATCTTTCCCCTTATTAGAATCCATTTCTAACCATTTCTTGAGTTTGGGTTTGAAGTCAAGTTGTGATTTTCATGGGGCTTCCTTAGGATTCTTGTTCATCATGTTATCTCCGACAAAACCCTTCGGTATCGTCGGATTCGGAGCACTTTCTGTCGGTGGGGATTTGAGATTTCCATCTCAAATTGAGGTAGGGGGTGTTATAGGTTATTATTCTTGTTATATTGCATGCTAGTGATATTTATGCAACTTATTTACATGCTTTGGTAACAAATCTAGAGATTTTATTATTTATTTTTCTTGTGAAGGATTTGATTTTCCAGGTTGATTATAGTTTTGTTTAAACATGTGGCATGAAATTATATTACCCCTTGGTATGGTCATTGACATATATTAAATTGAAAATTTTTGAACAAGTAATGAAGATTTTGTTTATTATTTTTCTTGAGTAAATATTTAATTCATGTGGCCTTATTTAGCTTGAAATCAATATGTGTTAGCATATTAGTTAAGCTTTAATACATTCTTCAACATATGTGAAATTGAAAGTAATCAGAGATGTTTTGAAATTTAGTAATTATTAATTAATTTGAGGGCAAATTTCTCAAAACCCCCAAAACTATTAAAAAGTGATCATAAAACCTCACCTAGTTTTTAAAACCCCCAACAATATAGAAACGTTATCATATTACCCCAACTCTGGCAATTGGCTCCGTTAACCCAGCGCGTGGCTAACAAATGCTTTGACAAATTGACTTTTGTGACGAAAATACCCCTGTTGTCACATGTGCCAAAGAAGTGACGTGTATTTAAATGTGATATACCGAAAATACCCCCAAGCGTGTAATGGTAAAAACCCACAAAAGTAAATCACGTTTTACTCATCTTCTCTTCCTCCTCCATGCGCATTGCAGGAAGCCCTAGAAGTTGCCCGAGCCACCGTGTTTCCTCCATTATAGGAACCAGTGGAAGTGATCTTGAAGCGTGAAGGTTAATTGTTACTTTAATTTAAGGTAATTTCGTACCCTAATTTAATCTAATAAGTAGCCGTACCCAAAGACTCACGTAATACTAATTTATTTGAGGATTTCTGAAAATGTAATTGCTTTGAGGTTTAAAATCATACATTAGCTATTGTTTAAACCCATTTTCTGAATTTTGTTTTCAAACTCATACATACAATACAATCCCTACCTTAGTGTCCAGCTATAACCACCGTCGAAATTAGATGTTGTTTTCAGTTGATTTTTAGTGTTTTTATTAAAATTAGATGTTGATTTGAGTTGATTTTTGATTTGTAGATTCGAATCCCAGAATATCTTCTTCAAGCACACAGTATGGGAGTCTTGATTTAAGGTATACTAATGTTCAATGTGATTGTGGCAAAATAGCTCTAATTCTGGTAACAGGGTCTGATGAGTATGACAATTTGGGAAAGCTATACTACAGATGTCCAAAACGAAGATGTGGATTTTGGGAATGGTGTAAACCAATTTCGACAAGAACTTCAAATGAAAATGGGAAGAAGATTGAGGTTGGTCAAGGTGTTGATAGAAAAGATATTGCAGAGTTGAAGACAAAGTTGTATACCATCGAAGGAAGGCTTCAGTTGATGAAGAAACTTATTGTAGCATGTATCATCATTTCTATTGCTGCTTTTGTGAGAACTATGGGAGAGAAGTAAAGTGCTTGTTGGTGACTACTTCTGGTTTTGTGTTTATGTCAACTTTGGGAGGGAATTGAAGTAGGTGCAACTTAGTTTTTTTGGTATTTAACTTGTTTAGGAGTTGGATGTTTTTGTCTTTGATTTAGGGATGATGTACAACATTGATAATATTAAACTTGTTGCAGCATTTATGATGTTAAAGTAATCTGTTTATCTTAAATTAAAGTTCACAATATTGATACCAAATTGGCAAATGCAACATTCGTACCATAACCTGTCCAAAAGTAGTACAACATGTTCATACCATAACCTGTCCATATAAGTTGTTCATGCAATAAAGTAATACAACCTGTACTTGAGAAATGAAATCCATCCACATGTAACATATTCACAAAACCATATCATAACCTGTCCATACAACAAAATGATACCCTAATACAACATATAGATTATAAAATAATAGTAATGCATTAAGTGATCAAGTTTGGTTGTGATTACAAAACTCATAGAACTGTCATCCACCATTAAGGGTTACAAAATAAATAGTTAAGTCTCATACACTGTCATAGCACTGTCATCCACCATTAAGGGTTACAATAAAGTAAAAGCACTGTTATAGCACTTGTCCAACACAAGCTTTACAAAAATCAATGCATAGTATTATCAATGCATTATCCATCAAATGTCCAAAAATT